CATCCGTTGATGACTTTTAGCTTGGCATACTTGACGTCTGAAGCCTGAGGTTCTCGGTCAGCTGTAAATTGACTCATCAGTTTCTGAGTGTTATATTAAGGATTTGATTTTTTTTTGTGTGATTACTGACTGATTTGAGTTTGGATGGGTTGAGTGAATGGCGTCTGTTCTGATGGTTCGATGTTCGTTGCTGATGTTCTTTGTTCATAGTCAATATTATGATTTTTGTTGTTGTTGTTGTGGTTCTAGTACTTGAGAATCGAGTAGGAAGGAGACAAGTCGAGGGTGAAGTTTCTCTTTTTTTTTTTTTTCGGTTGAGAAGATAAGGATGACTGAGTGGGTCTGCTTGATTACATAAGCTCAACTCAATCGACTCGACTCGCAACTCACTTCTCAGCAGCCACTCTCTGAACAACATCCCTTTCTATTGACATCTCCAGACAACTCCCATCCTTTGAGCAGCAGCTGGTTGAAGACACAAGAACCTCCTCGGCCTTTGCTATCAAGTCTTGCCTGCCATTCAGCCCACATGGCAACTCAGCATCACCGCTGTATACTTACACCATCTGAGCCTTGCCCTTCAATTCATCAAGGTGGTAATTTCCTAGAAACTCACAATCATCACATAGATATAGTTTTGGGTTGATCAACACTATTGATCCCAAATACCATCAAAACTTCATATTGAAGCAGATTTCTTTTTGGCTTGCTTGTTGCTTACTCTTATCTATGCCAATGTCCAGCCACCATACTATCAAGGATGCTTGGAAATGAATAGCTGTTAGTAGATCCATATACATCCACCCCACAAAATAAGCATAAGTATAATGCACACAAGTACTACACTTATATAGTGTGGTATGCTTCTTATCATTAGGACTTCCCATATAAACATAGGCGGAATTAATGATATTTTATGCTTATACAGAAATAGAGCCTCAGTTAAACAACATCTGGCCTCATCTCACATGCTTTCCCCAGTCTTACATGAACATATTTTACACTAACTCTTCCCATATTATTATGCAAGATACATTTTAAACATGAAAACTATCAACTTTGTAGAAGCAGCTTAAGGAGAGGGAACAGAACTTCTTGGCCTATATCATATTATAATATTGGACTCCAGATATGATACAGTTGCAGATGGCAAAAACTGACCCTTGATTTGGAGGGTGTCCAAATTTCTGGGCCAAAAGTTTATGTTTCTTTTTTTGGAATTTTCAGACTTTGGAGCTTTTTTTTTAGCCCTCAGAAGGTCAAAAAGGTACGCTAGAGCACTGAATTAAAACTGAAAACAAACACTTAAGGCATAGAATTGGTATAATTTCATCAGTATGCATCACTTAAAGCCATAATGGAGGGTTCAAGTATGGCTGTATGTGCACTTGTCCAATAATATGTATGTGAAAATGAGAAAAACAAAACCGATCTTTTGATGCAAACACTTCTAGTGTGTATAATTTTGAGCTCAACAAACATGCGAGATTGTAATAAAAAAGGGTATCAGTGTGTTTACTCAGGGGGGTTGGGAGGGCCTGTGTGTCAATTGTGAATTTTGAGGGTGGGGCAGGGTTGGGTTTTGCTGTCTGCAACTGTACCCTCATGATGGTCAGTGAAAAAATGTATAGGTGCCAGGTGATACAAAAATGCACAATTGAGGTGGTGAGTTGAAATTTTGAATTATTGGTAGTATGGTCTTGCAAGCCCGTCTGGGCACAATCTCAAGTCCCGCGTGGCCGAGTGCCACCAGGGGTTTAGATTGTGCCCAGAGAGCTTGATCGGACAGGATGGGCGGGGGGCAGGACTTGGCACATAGCCAAGTCCCGCTGGGCCGATTTCAAGCCCTGGGCTGATTGGTAGCCTGTGCACCAGCCCGGCACTGGACCCCGACTCAGCAGATGGCCTTCTCGGGGGCCGGCATGTTGGCGGGCGTGGCACACTCGCTTGATTTCGGCCAAGCGAGGCTTTGTCCCGACCCCCGCCAACTTTAGCATGTGCCAAGCGGGGGTTGGGATGGTGCCACGCACGCTTTGGGATCGGCCAAGCGGGCTTTGAGATTGGCCCAGCGCGCTTGGCCTTTTTTTGACCAAAATTTGGTGTGTGCCCAGACGGGCTTGCAACACCATACATACAGTATACATGTACCTTCAGGATTTTTTTTTTCATTTGAATAATTTTTTGTGAAAGTGATATGATAAACTCAAATAAAAAAAGTCAGTCATAAATAGAGATGTTGCTTGATACCCGGGTACCTGGCTCAAAAATCCAATATTTTTGACACCCGCACCTGCTAGGGCCGCCAGGGCGGGTACCCGGGTACCTGCGCCGGGTACCTGTGGGTACCTGGCACATTTTTGCAGGCAAATATACCCAGAAATCTCACCCTTGAATTTCTGCATAACTTGGTAAATATAAGATTGATATTCACTAGATATATGAGTAAGAATAAAATAAAAATAAAGAAATAAAGAAAAACAAATTATTCTATCACCAATTTGAATTTTATCTTCTCTCTGATCTATCTTTAGCTTTACCCTTTTGCTTGGCCTCATTTGCCTTATTCAATGTCCATTGATGAAGACTGTACACCGTCTTTATGACTGGAGGAATTCCTCCAGTCATCAAGACTGTACATCATCTCAAAGGCTGGAGGGAACCCTCTGGCCTCAACAAAGCAACCAGATTAGTTCAGCAACACATGTAAGACACCAGCTGGTGTCCTACATGGGTTTCTGACACCTTTGTGCAGCCCAACACACCCAAAAGAGGGAGTGTTGGACCACCAATGATAACAACGATGAAACAATGTGATACAATGCGATACATCACCCTGTATTGGTATTGCATTGTTTTAGCGATACACACTTAAGTGATACCGATGCAACACATCATTTAAGCGATGCATCACATCGGATTTGTGATGCGATACTGATGCAATGCATCACTTAACCGATGCGATGCATGTATTTATCGGACACATCGGGTCAATGGGTGATGGCAATGGTGGGCCGCTACGCTGAACTACGCTAAACGACCCCCTAGCAGCAGCGTAGCGACCCCGGAAAGCTCCTCCTGATTCTGTAGCGTTAGCGGGCTGTTAGCGGCGCTACGCTAACACTACGCCGCGTTACGCCGCTTTTTGGGGAAAAACCCGCTAAAAAGGGGTGTAACGCTGCGTAGTGGCATCATATTTTGCCCCATGGCCGTCAGTGATAGCGTGATACCGCTAACAGCTAACGGAAAACATCCGTAGTGTTAGCGGTATTTCGCTGCACTACGCTTCGCTGACGCTAAAGTCAGCGTAGCTGGCCCACTGCTGGTGATGGTGTTGGGGGGGGGGGGGTAGCAAGCTGTCAGGTGATATGATGGAGGGGGGGGAGGTGAGCAGAGAGGTGATTGAATGGCTGGGGGGCGGCGGAATCCCAACTATAAAGGATAGATCTTTTAATGGAGGGTGGGGGGGGGCTAGCTCCGATGAAGGGACTTACGT